ACCGCGTTCTGACTTTTAAACCTGTTTTTGAGACCGGCTAGCCAGAGCACGTCCCCACTAGAGACACTTCTCTTGTCCTGTCCTGTCCCCGAGAAGTAGGACATTGTCACGGTGAGATAGAGATACACACGGTGAGATATGCATACACACACACACACACACACACACACACACGAATACACAGGCAGAGCTGGGATTTGAACCTGCCGGTCTCAATCCCAGAACCCATGCCCTCACCACTGCAGAGCACTCTTGCTAAAAGGAAGCTCACAATTCTTTCAATGTGAAGGTCTCATTTGAATAACAGCCACCACAACAAAAATCTGGGTTCTTTTTTTTCCAGTGTTTCTCATGAAAATACCTAGATTTACAAATAACTCTGCAGAGATTTCTGAGAAAATTACTCTGCCATTGTAGTTTTACGAACAGAGACTGTCAGAGACACTGATACAACATTCACGATAAATATGGGCTGTCATATTTTTTGGCAGTAGTGTAAGTTCCAATGAATCTGTCTCAGCCTTGAGTTATTATTGTTATTGCCACTTTTATTGCTGCATTAATCACCAAACATACTGAGAGGGATTAATGGAGTTAATTGTTTTTAGCAGTGAATTAAATGCGAGCACTCAGGCTGGGTACTGAGCCCTGACACAGGGTCTTCCTTCGCCGGAGGAGTGGGCAGGCGCTGCAGCAGCTTCTGGAGACGTAATCATTTGGATATCACCTTACCCATCACTGTCGATTTCCTTTGGTTTGGTGCACGGCCCTTTTTACTTTTAGTCAGTTTATAAAACACCTGTGAATTATAGTCTAGAAGTTTTATATCTGCCAGGGAGCAAGGATTCAGAGATCCCTCCTAAACGGGCACCTGTGTGCATTTGCCAGGGCTGCCATAACAATGTCACACCTGGGCAGCTGAGACAGCAGACATCTCTGTCTCATAGTTCTGGGTGCTGGTAGCCTGAGACCAAGGAGTTACAAGGCTGGCCTGTCCTGGTGGCCTCTGTGTGGCATGTGAATGTCCGCCTTCTCCCTGTGACTTCACATAGCTTTTTCCCTGTGCACATGCATCCCTGCTGCTCTCCGTCTTGGAAGGGCACAAGTCCTATTAGAGTAGTACCCCTACCCTATTCTACCTTCATTACCCCTTTAAGGGACCTAGCTCCAAATCCAGTTACGGTCTGTCCTTACGGGTGTTAATACTTCACATTAAGAACTTTAGTGGGACAGTTGTAGGTCCTTCCTTTGGGGAAAGACATTCATAATTCTCAGACCCCACATTTTAAGACAGTAGAAAATCATCATCATGTATTACAGAGTTTTATTTTTAGTCACCGTTTCTAATGGGGTAGCAGATTATATAAACTGGGAAATCTTATATTAAAAACTTAGATGGTAGATGCTTTGTCTTTTTTTTTTTTTAATCTGAGCTCAAAGTGAGGGAAGTTCCTAGGGACCAGAAGCAAAGAAAAGCATGAAATAAGAGTTACGTGAGACTTGGGCCCACTCAAGGGATGGAGCAGGGCCCCAGACCCCTGCACAGAGCTGGGTCCTCAGAGCCAGAGCCTGGAGGAGACTGAGGGACACAGGAGGACGGAGGGAAGCTGGCTATCAGCCTGGGCGCCAGGTGTGGCAAGTGTCTCCTTGAGAACTTGTAAGCATAGACTTGCCTTTGTGTGAGTTGAGTTCAGATCTGGTCTGGCAATTCCTGCTCTGAGAAAGCCATAAAAGGGGTTCCCCAGCCCTGTGCTCATGGTCTGACAGAAGCTGATGTCCATCTGTCCAGACGGTGCTGTCTGCCTCAAGGCCACAAGATCAGCAATGACAAGCGCATAATCCATAAGCACCCAGTACAAGAATGAGAATCAGACAAGCCGCGGGATTAGACCCACAAGGACCTCTAACACCAAATGACAGGTACAACCACAGGCAGGTGTGCGTAAAATGGTCAAACACCGAGAGGAACTAGAAACACGAATCATGAAAACCCTGTCAAGCGAAGTCCTGCTGGGGATATAGCTCAGTGGCACACGTGCCTGCCTGGCAAGCACAGGTCCTGAGTTTGATTCCCGGTACCAAAAAGGAAAAAAAAATCAAACAAAGTCCTATTGAATTGCAGACAAAAACATAAGCTCTAGCAATGAGAGGTAAAATGATTAGAAAATCTGTTACTGGCATCTGAAGCAGCTTGGGGAGGATCACTGGGTAGGATTCTGTTTCTTTCAAAGCAGACCACTCTCCATTAAAAGTGGTGGGGCAGAGAGAGATTACTTCCAGTCTCGGCCCACCCACACCGCCTTGACACGTCTTTCCTGTGCTTGCTCCCTGCACTGTCCCATCTGATGGACAGGGGCACTGCCCCGTCTGATGGTCAAGGGCACTGCTGGCCCCGGAAGCCAGCGCCATCTTCCTGAAGGCGGGAAGTGGCAATGCCACCTTGGGGAACATCAGAGTTCTAAAGTTGCCCTGCACTTCTGTGACTCAACAAGGTCCAGCCTAATGTGGAAGCTGAGGATGTGTGACAGTACCTCTGGGACATGGCTGGGCAGTGGCAGAGACTCAGTGGCTCTCCTGGTGGGCAGGGAGGCGGGGAGTCGATGAACCAAATGCTTCAGTCTTAGGAGGTTTGGCCCCTTTCTGCATGTGAAGCGGGGTGCCGATGACCTCTGTCGACACAGAGTCACAACTGTGCTTTAAAGGAAATAAGAAAGTAGTTTATTCTGAAACACATGAATGGCCATGACCTAGGAACGCAGACTCAAGTGACCCAGGATGACATCCTGCAAAAGAGATGGCATGAGCTTCTGCAGCCACAGAACAAAGTCAGAAAGTAATGCAAGGATGAGTACAGGAGCGGGGCGCCGGGGAGCAGGGCTGAGCCAAGCAGGGAGCTCTTTTCTGTAGTTTCCTGCCACCTTAGCAGTAGTGGCAGTGGAAGCTAGAGGTCTGCTCGGATCAGCAGGGCATCCTGAGAGTTTCATCTGAGCCCTGAGAACATTGGGTCAGATGCAGACTTGAAGGTAAATGGCTGTTGAAGGGACTAAGGCAGCCCCAGATGATCAATTCAGCTCCCCTCTGCGAACGGTTCGTCTTTCACAATCATGGTGTTTCACTCGGCCAACATCGGGCAGCAGCTTCCTCAGAGAACGGGCACTGTATAAAGCCAGATTTTTGGATGCAGGGTCGGCATCTCCATTCTATTTCCTGGAACACTGTGATGCTAAAACATAATAGCCAGTGTTACTGACCCAAAAAAGCTGTGGTCAAATGCATTTGGGAGAGAGTGCAAGCTTGGTAAAGCTACATGGTGCAGTTTAGCACCTTAAAGGCCCAGAAAATCTCTTAAAAAACACATTTGATTCTGCTCAGGGCCACGTTTCCCACTCTCATCAGACCCTAAAATTCTAATGTCTACCCACTGTGCACCAACCAGCATTAACAGAGTAGCTACTAGATAAATGCAAGTCAGACTACAGTGAGTTACCAGCTCACGCCCACTAGGATGGCTGTAATAGGAAAGGTAGATAATAGCAAGTGTGAGTGCCCACATAGCGGTGGAAACTAGGATGTTCCACAGTTTGAAAAGTATGCTGGTGGCTCCTTCAGATAAACAGTTACCGTGTTCCCAGCCGTTCCATTCCTAGGTGCATGAAAGATGGATAAAGAAGATGGAAAAATAGGAAGTAGGGAGACTTTCAAATCATGCCCCAAACTCTCTATTTTCATTGTTTCAAAAATATTTTAGGATATGTGCTGATTTGTTTCATTTTACTACTAGTTTCTTTCTGTTCATGGAAGAGAAAGTTTTGTCTTTTTGTTTCTTCTTTGTAGGAGGGAGGACTTACACTCTACATAACATTTGGCCATTCTTTTACAATTATGATACAGTGTATTACCTTTTATTCCTGAATTACTTCAGTTGTTCCTGAATTACTTTGTTGCAAATTTTGGGGTTTCTTATAGAGGTAAAGAGTGATTTTTATATTTTCTTTGTTAATAGCCGTTTGTATTTCCTTAGAAGAAAATGCAAACGTGCACACAGGAAGTTTTGTAAGTGATGTTCGAACTGCATTATTCATGACAGCGAACAGTGGAAACAGCCCACGTGCACATCAGCACCGGAGGAGGGGGCCACACGTGGTGTGCCAGTGCAGTGGGGAATATTTGCCCTCAGAGGAGTGCAGTCTTGAGCTGTGCTATCACACAGATGGACCTTGGAAACGTGCTCCTTGAAGAGCCGGTCGCCAAAGATCGTGCAGTTTGTGCTTCCACTTCCGTGCCGATTGCAGAGCAGACAGCGCCAGAGGACCGGCAGTCGGGAGCAGGGGAAGGGGTGCACAGGAAATGACAGCTCATGGGCCGGGGTTCCTGCTTGCAGTACGATCATTACTTGGGGCGGTGGTTGTGCAACTCTGAGTTCACTCAAAACCACTATACTGCACAGTTTACATAGGTGAATTGGGGCCGGGGATGGAGCTCAGCAGCACAGCACCTGCGTGGCAAGTGCAAGGTCCTGAGTTGGAGTCCTGGTCCCCTCCCCCCGCCAAAAAAATGTCGATTGTATTGCACATAAGTTAATCTCAATAAAGCAAGTTTTAAAAGCGGAATTAACATCTGTCAACAGCATAGTAGCTGTCCTGTGTGGGTCATGGCCACCTCACCCCATCGAAAGCATCGCTGGTATCTGAGGACACAAAATGTCACAGGGCTGGGTTTTCACGTCCCTTGTTAGGTGAAGAAGGTGTGAGGAACCTAAGCAAGCAGCCACTTCGCTGCTTAGGGTCAGGGTTAGGGTCACACTGCTGTTCTTACAAAGTACTTGAAAGCTGACCGCAGAGGGACACGAGAGCCTGGACAAGGTTCTAGGAAGGTCTGCGGGAGAGAAGGTGGGGAGCGCCGCGCCCTGCCCAATGTCCTCCCGGCCCCACCCCCATGCCCGTCAGCGGTGTCAGCCCCCCACTCCCGCCCTAACCCGGGCCCTTCTGCTTGCATTGCAGTGAAGGCTGGTGGGATGCGGATCGTGCAGAAACACCCACACACGGGAGACGGCAAGGAGGAGCGAGACAAGGATGACCAGGAGTGGGAAAGCCCCAGGTGGGACGAGTCTGGCGACTCGAGCAGACTTCGCCAGTACCTTCCTTATGTTAAACATTAACACGTGTTCTCTGTCCTGCGCTGCTGACCACTCCCGGGCCACCAGGCCACACTGTTTGTGTTTCCTTTCCCGGCGGGTGGGGGTGGCTGTACCAGGCAGGCCGCAGGAGACAGCGTCCAAAGTGCACCCTCTCCACGCGCCAGCCCCGCCTGCGCCATGCAAGTGCAGGGGAGATGCCCTCGGGATGGCAGGCACGGTGGCCGGCGGCCTGGCTGAGGCAGGGCTGCCCCTTTCTGGAAGCAGGGCCCGGGGCCCGCCCTGGAGCAGCTCACCGCGTGGCCCTGGCCTCTGGTAGCCACAGCCCCCAGCTGCTCTCTTCCCACCATCCGGGCCACCAGAGTGGAGGGCATGGTAATTCTCACAGCCTCGGGTCCCATGCAAGGGCTCACCTAGGAAACCCTGTGGGACCTCCTGGAGACCCGAGTTCAGTCTCAGCCCCTGCACAGCCAGGCAGAGGATTCTGACTGAAGAAATGCTTCCACCAATCCGGAGAGAGCAAGGCAGCCCGTTCCTGAGTGACTGCGCTGGCTTGAGTGGCGCCTCTGCCCTGCCTTGCTGGGCCCTCTGTTCACCCCAGCTGTGTTCCCTGGGGGTTCTGGTCTCAGCTCTGTTGAGGGACCTGACCTGCACTGTCTGTGACTTTGCTGTACACCGTATGACTGTCCATGGAAAGGAACGTGAACCGCACATTTTCTGCTTGTAAGTTGTCTGCAGAGGAGGCCTCAGCCAGTGGAGGAGAGGAGAGTGTGGGAGGAAGAGCATCTATTTCTGTGGAGCAAGCGTGAGGTTTGACTCATTCCACTCACAGCCTGAGGCGTAGGGGGCGTTTCCCCCAGCTTAAGCACAAGGAAACAGGGCCACACGGGGCCGTACATCTGCCCCCATCGTACACCTTCCCTGGAATGCAGCGGGGCCTGCAGTGCAGCTCTGGTGGCTCCAAAAGAGGGGCCCCCGAGGGCCCCTGCTGGCAGGAGAGTCCCCGTGGCTGCCCATGCATCCCTCCCCTGCTGGGTATTTTCTAGGAAACTCCATATGGGAGGGCGCCTGGACCAGCCACTGCAGGGGAGGATAACATTTTGGGTGAAGTTCCTGAGTCATTATTGCCCATTTTAAATCGTGAGGTCAGCAGTGTAAAGGAACGTCTGGCCTGAGTTCTGGTTTTGTTTGTCTGGTTTTTTTGTTGTTTGATGCTGGGGGTTGAACTCAGGGTCTCGTGCATGCGAAGAAAATTCTACAATGACATTTCTCACAGGCTGCTCTCACAGAGCTGTGTTTAGACGTAACGTCGATAACTCTCGCAGGTCTACTGTCCTGGATCTGAAAGCCTTGGGCGCTGTTTATTTCAGGATTCAGCTACAGACTTCAGGAGAGTAAGGCGATGGTCCTCCCAGCCAGCAGCAGTGGGCCAGCAGCGGGTTGTAGTCTGCGTGTGTGCTCCATCGGGGAGCCAAGTGCACAGACCAGGGACGTGTGCGTCTGTTCAGGCTATGCATTGCCCTGTGCGGGTTATAAGGAAACTTGGGGTTCTCAGAACATACTTGAGCTCTGAACAGGGAGTGAGAGCGCGTGGGCCCCATGTAGTTTCCTTCTGCTGGAGCCTAAGTGTCCTTGCCTTCCTCATCCCCTGCTGCATCCTAAGAAGGCAGGCAGAACACAGAGGAAATAGCCTTACTGGAATAAAGTCCTGGGCGGGGGGGAAAGCCGTGTTTTACTGTGTGTCGGGGGAGAGAGGGACCAGCCGCTGCTCCCCTGCCTGACACAGGGTCCAGACTGTGAGAGACAGCAAGCTATTCACCTGTTTAGAAATACGCTCAGGGGCTGGCAAAGTAGTTTGGTAGTGGAGCATTTGCCCAGCACTCACAGGCTCTGGGTTTGGTCCTCAGCACTGCTGAAAAAAGAAGAACCAGAGAGACAGACAGACAGAACTGTCTGATAGGTCTGTTAGTTTTCTTTCTGCAGATTTTTCCAGGGCACAGAACACAGCATGTACGGAAGGTGAGCAATTTAAATTACTATGCCCGAGGATGAATGGTGGCAAGACGAAAGATCAAATATCCAGCGCTTTAAATTTTAGCATCGTTTTCACCTAAAAGATTGGCTGTTTTTCTGAATACCGAAATACTTTGAAGCAAGCCAGCTACAGAGCGTTACTATGAGCAAAGGGGTTTGCTGTTGCCTGCCACAAAACCACAGGTGCACGCGCTTCATCCTGTGGATGTACTGACTCCTGTCCTCTGGACTTTGAGTGGCTCCTTACCAGTGTGGGTGGAGCCACGTGACACCGAGGGTGCAGAATGGGAGGGGCCGTGTGTATTCCAGGCACTGACCTTCACTGGTGAGGCTTCTTCTGCTCACGGAATAACCCCCTTCCTGCTCTATTATTTTCTCTGCAATCAGTGCCTGATTTTGCAGCGAAAAGGGAAGGAAGCCACCAGAATGGAGTCGGTGAACTTGGGGCCCTACGACTCCGACCCCGCTGCACCAGCCTGACGCCCTCTGCAGTGGCTGACTTCTCCCACCACACCCTCCCCATTTTGCTGCTGGGTAATTGAATAATCGCTGTCAGTAGCAATCATCGCCAGTTCTCAGGTCAGCAGTGTGGCTGCCTTACTTCTAAGGGCTCTGCCCACCTCAGTTCATCTGAATCTCACAACTACCCTTCGCTGTCCTCTGTATTTCAGAGTTGTGCCCCATTCCAAGTTACTGTTCCCTGAGTCAAGTGACTTTTCTGGGTCACACAGCGGGTAAGTGGGAGAGCCCTAGCACCTGTATCCAGATGCCGCTTCCTGAGTTTCGAGTCTGTGCGTACGCTTGTCAGTTGCTTCCCCCAGAGCTTGGTGCTGGTGTGCTCCTCATATAGACGAAGAAAGCAGGGCTTAGGGAGGTGATCCAGCCCACCGAGATGGAGCCAGTCGCAGCCTGGTCAGCACTCAGCCCTGAGTTTGTCTTGACTTGGAAGCCTAAGGCCCTAGTATGTTATAGGAGCCCCAATTTGCCACAGACTGCACTCTGGATCCTTCTATAAATAAAGCCTACCCACTTAGAGGTTGTCCTAACCTTACCTCTACTTCTCAGACCTGTAATCTTGCCCTTCTGCAGCCTCACCATCAGGAAATGGTCTAATTACCAGTTCATGACAGGACTCTGGGGGACTGTGCTGGTTTGCTTTACATTTGGAAAGGCCTCGTTTGCAGAATTTAGAAACCTGTCATTACCCGCTTGGAAATGCCATATTGCAAGTGACTTGATCATCCACATTATCCTAATCACAACATTTTGAATTTTTTGATGTTTGGACCCAAATGTTCTCCAAATATAAAAATAAGCACATCGTGTCAGAAGCCAATTTCTTCATGAGTCACAGATCTACATTTGCAAACTCTTCTTTGCTTTTCCCCCATTATTAATTATTAAAGGCTGGTTTTCAATTTCACCAACTCATCTGTGGTGGCTTCCCTTCCTTTCACTGCAGAATCAAGCCCTGATTATAGAGCAAGGAACGACGGCACATTAAGGGCATTATTTTGTGACCAGAAGAAATCTCACAACTTTTACTAGTAATTATTTTTGTCATCCCCTTTAATCTTATTTTCAAGAGATTTAGAAAGGATTTCTTATGCCGCCTAGTTTTTTGAGATGCTACTTTTTAAAAAATTGCAACCAAAAGATGAAAATGTTGCCCCAGCATTTCCACCAGGCTGAGCTCTGGGTATCTGAGTCTTCAGATCCAGGAAGAGACGGACGCTCCATCCCATCCGCTGATGCTTTGCTGAGTGGCTGCTCTCTTCCATCCCAGAATGACCCAGCTGAGGAAGGCGGGAGTTTGCCTCAAAGCCTGTTGTTGAACATAAGATAATGCGCCCAGGTTTCATAATGTAACAGATTAATTGCAGGCATGGAATCACCTTCAAGAGTCACAGTTCAATGAAGGAAATAGTTGCGTGTTGAGCATTTACTGAGGCTCTACCACAAACCAGGCTTAGGACAAGAAACTAAAATGTGATGGGAAGAGTAAACTAGAAAAGAAAGGGTTTGCTCATCCCTGGGGTTGGATGAGAAAGGGCTAAATAGAAGGGGAGGGGGAGCCGGTTATATCGCTCAGCAGCACAACGACTGCCTGGCAAGCATAAGGTTGTGAGTTCAATTCCTGGTACCAAAAAGAGAGGGGCCTGGGGATGACCAATAGAGATCAGGAGGGAACATGCAGCTGTCTGAACTCGGCATTTTGTATTGCCCTGGTCTAGAGCCATGGTACTGCCCCACACAGCCAGGATGTGGGAGGGAATCGACTTACATACAAATAGTAACAAATGAGCCAGAATGTAATATCAATGATTGCACACCAGAGGCTGAGGAGCACAGAGCTGATTAATGTAACCACACTGAAGAGGGTAGCAAGCTACCAAGTAACTCTGGAGAATACATTTTAATTGAATGTTGTAAGCCTAAAAAGACAAAAAATAACTATACCTAAATGTTATATTCCAGTTAGTAAAATCTTCAGAGGTTTAGGGCAGCAATTCTGGAATTGTTTCATGTGTATACTAGGACTAAATAAATTAGCAGAATATTATGGATCATGAGAGCTAAGTTTCTTGCTGCCAAAAATGTTGAAAATTCAAAACAGGAAAGATTGAGATGAACTTTGTGCTTTGGAATGGGAAGTAAAGGAATTTGTAGAGCAGATGGCTTTAGGTGAATGGAGGGATGGATGGATAGACAGTGGAGGCATACATGCACATACGTACATGCAGAAATAAAGGTAGGTGGGTGGTCAGGATACGCACATGTATTTCCTAGCTTTGTGCACGGAGAGGGCCTACGAGAACAGAGTTCTCCCATCAGGGGAACAGGGTTCCTAGAGAAGTGGTGGATTCCAGGTCAAGGCAAGATACTAGATGAGCAGGAACATCAGAGAATGCTAGAACATAAGGAAGTG